TAAAATACCCAGTGCTATATTCATATATATATTTTTAAATACATAATATTTAAAATTTTTATTTTAGTGGGAAATGTGCAATTGAGGTGTGAAACTTACATTTAGTGGGATGGATACAAGCATAGGAATAGTAAGTAAGTTATCATTATTAGGAATAATTAATAAAGTTTTTAAGATTAATGGCTAATTAATTTCTCCCCTCTTCGACTCTTCGCCTTATCACCTTTAAGCAACTTTTTCTTTTCAATTTATTGTCCTTTGTATTTAAATAATTATTTTATCTATTATATTAAATTAACTTATAATTTATAATATTTGAATAAAAATGAAGACAATGTTATATAAGGACATAATAATTATTGAATGTTTCTAATCCATCTGCATATTTTGTTAATATTGCATATAATATATTATGATAGTAATATAATTATATAAGTAGATGAACTTCAATTATAAGTGAAGCTCACGTATATAAATATATTATAATATATTAATTAAAGGTGGCATTAATGGTAGATTAATTACCATTCAACTTGATGTAATCTCCATTAAACTCGTCTATATATATATATATATATATATATATATATATAATTTGATTAATATTATAAAATTCTAAATACTTCAATATAAAACAATCAACATTACCCTTAAATGCTATTAAATCTAATTAAGTATATTAGATAATAATTATTCTGCCATTATATTAACACATTCCTTTATATATTGTAATATTTTTCTATATGAATATATATTATATATATTGAGCTTCAATTTTATGTAATTAAACTTAAATTGATTAATATAAAGTACTCTAATTTAAAGTAATGAAATTTATATCTAAAGGAGTCAAAATGAAGTAGAGTTATATTAAATTTTTGGACTTGTAATATAATTAGTAATTAGTAACAATTATTATACATTTAAAATTAAAAGGCGTGGTTGTCAAAAGCAAAATATAAAAGTGCAAAAATAAAAATAAAAAATACTAGAGTTTCAATATATATATATATATATATATAATTTTAACAATGTTGCCAAAGCCGGCCCCACCCGACCGATTCAACGGGTAAAATTCGGAACTGGGCGCAAAACTAGGTCAATCATGCCCGGTTACCTGCTTATGATTAAACCACTTAAAAATCCACCAAACAGGTCGATTTACCTATAAACCGGTGAACCAGTCATAGTTTTGTGATTTTCCCAATTTTATTTTTTTAGTTTAAGAAATTTCAACTTCATGATTGGACATCATAAACAAGAATTCAAAAGCCCATAGAAAAATATTAGATGACATGCTCATTTTACAGATGCACCTCTCTAAAATGGTTTTATAAACTTTCAATGTGGGATAGTGCATTTTATAGATACACTTCTCTACAATGGTTTCATAAACTTTCAATCTGGGATAGTGACATAACAAAAATGTTAACAAATTATAGAATAATGAATCTAATTTACAAATTGTTAATGTGAATTTTTTTTTAAAAAAAAATTATTGTTTTTATACTATTTTTTTATGTGTATTTATTGCATCCGGTTCGATCCCTGTTGAACCTTGACCTCTCATCTTTTCCGGGTCAATGATCGGTTCAGTTTTCAAAACTTTGAATTTTAGCATCACGCTCATAACTAATTTTCATTATGTGAAATTCACTACTATTCCTTTTTATAAGTTATTAATAATTTTATCCAAATTTGAGAGGCAGAGGATCTTCCACTTTTTTATAACACGAAAGAATGATTTTTTTGGTAGGGTCTTTGTTGAAAAGTAAAATGCTATGAAAGAACATAGAAAGAAACAAAATCAAATCCTTGATAATTGTGGTCTTGTAAATGATGTCCCCCTTTCACTAGGGTAGAAAGTTGGGGCATCCATCATGGCCCTCCATTACATTTGATTGAATCCATGTTATATGCTTCCAACTATATATTTATTTTCCACCCACTCCATCTCACCTCACATGAATAATATTGACATATTGATTTATAATAAAAGTGGACAATTTGTGATAGAAACACGTTTCAAAGTCTTTGTCTCCTTGGTGTAAAAAGTTTGAAAGAAAACGAAAGTCACAACACAAGCATGGAATTGTCCTAGATACATCGTTGAGGTTTTCCTTTGTGCCCTCTCCAATAAATTATGCCATTGGGTCCCATGTCACCGTCCATTTAACGCTAAGAGCGTGTTTATTACGATGATTATGCACTATTATTGTGATTCTATTCGATGTTATAATAGACAATACACCATCTCCACGTTGCGTGGAAATGTGTATGTTGAAAAAAATAATCTTCAAATCTATCATTTTCATCAAACAAGAAATAGCGTGGGTTGAAAACAAAAGTTTGAGAATTTAAATGTTACGAAAATTGATTGAGAACTTGTAAGCTTTATTTATTTTAGAGCCGGCAAATGCAAATGGAAATTACAATACAAAATGCACGGGTTAACCAATACACTTGACAAACCCATTCAACTACGAAAAACCCAACATTTTAAATCTTAAATGGTCACTATCGAATACGCATTATGGGTTGTATCATGTAGTTTTCATCGTCACGGGTGTGCAATTAGTTAAGTATGAACGGCAATCTCCACAACCAATTTGGTCATGTAGGGCAATAAATATTGAGAGTCAAACTTAATCTAATTGAGTTTTTGAAGTTAATTGGTTTAAAATGCATCTTTAATCAGGATAAGATTGCAAGGGATATATCGATTTGGATTTGTTTAAATAATTTAGACAAAACTTGTTGAAAAGGATATATTTGAATGATTCCATATTGAGGGTGGAGTCCAATAGAAAATTTGTTCCATTGTCATATATTATTTATTTCTTAATTTTCCACTGCATTATTACATTATTATACAAATTTAGCATCTAGTAGATGACAAAGGTCAAATGAGGAATCAGTAGTTAAACGTCTAAGTTAAGAATTATCTCAATTGGATTGTTACGTCTAAACCTACATAGCAAGTCATGTGGCACCCAACTAAACAAAAAACGAAGTAAGAGGCCACGCAAGGTCCACAATCCACTCCACATAGCTCCCTGCATCTTTGTGAGGTGATTGGTTTATTAGGCGAGGTGGCTAAGCACCTCATCCCAAGTGATTGACGATCTCCTCAAGCACACAATATATTCCCTTTGAAATGATTTTTCAGAGCTAACTTCATCGACGTGGTACTTTCGAGGTGATGTGCACTTTCTTGTTGTTGTGCTTCTTCGAAGTGGGACATTTCTTATGAAAGGAAACCTTTACAAACACCACATCTATTTGAAGATAATTCGTATAAAAAATACTTTGCACATTGATAGATTGTCAGTTTGTAGTAAATATATTCGGTTACTTTTCAATTACCTTTATGAAATAGGGTGGCAGCTTTTCAACTTGTATTAGGTAGCTATAGAGCTATGATGGCTAGAACTAACACAGTTTGACTAGTGCTAATGAACCGTTAAGATGAAATCACGTGTCAAAGATATAACGGACGTCACATCTTCTATTTGATATAAAAGCTCACAATTGTGCCTCCATAAGTAAACTTAATCCAAGCAAGGCAATAGTGATCTCAATTCACATGTTGCAAAGAACATGTATTTTCTCTTCAAACTCGACATACATATTCTCATTTGTTGTGTCTCTCGCACACTCAAAACATGAAAGTATCCGTTTGACTTGAGAGTATGAGTGTCACGCAAGACTTTCGAACCCATCGACTACAATTCACAAATAGTGATTATCTAAGTGTGCAGTTAATGAAGACCACACACCAATGTCAAATTTTGAGGTCCACCTGAATCATAACAAAATATTTATTAGAAGGAATTTTTGCCTCTAAACTAATAGCTCGTCAGTGGCGACAACTACGCCAAAATTCACGATTTGTTTAGCACGTGAGAATCGATAAAGTTAAAGGGGGATAATGATCCAAAGAAAAAACGTCAAATGCTTCAAAAATTTCTTCACTAGTAACAATATATTAGCAAAGGGTGAATCAGATTCACGAGTTGGAGTGGGAATACATGCCGGTCATAAAGCGACAGACGGTCCTGATATAGTGGGCCCCTCTCAACTAAAGATCTAATCTCTCTTTCTCAATTATTTTTGTGTCACCTTCTCTTTAACCGGGGCCCACTGAACAATAAAATTATTTTACTAAAATATGATGAATTTGGAGACATTTATAAATTGGGTGGCCGGTCAGTTGGACAAATCACCTGTCAAATTTAAAATGACTGACTAATCCAATTTGATTTATGTTAGCCACCCAATTAATCAAACCTTTTTTTCTAAACTATCATCAACAAGACCCTACCATTTGTGATGATAACATTTCACTTAATTTCATTAAATTTGTTTTTAGTCATGGATTCAACCTATACCCATACCCAACAAACAAGTTATGATGAGTTTTCAAACTCGAACATGATTGATTGGCCAAGCAAAACATTCAATAAGATAAATTAAGATATTACTGCACTATCCCGTTCCACAATTCTCGTTGTACTCTCAATACTCATCTCTACTATTGATCGATCGATATTGTAATCACAAGAAATCTACGTTTGTGATCACGTATATTCCACTTCTCCAATATCTACTGAGTTGTCACGAAATGAATTGAGGATCTTGAAAACATTTTCAATCTCGATGCAACTTCCGCTAAAACAATTGTTAGGAGCACACTTTACCAAATTGAAATACTTGACCAAGTTCTAATTCAAATGGGGGGCCCCACCAAATAATTTAATCCTAACCTAATAGGCATGTTGGCAACAAAACATCATCACAACAACATTATATTATGCAGTCTAATCTTGGTACTATGTCGTGCTCTTTTGACAAAGACTATAGATATAGAGTCATTGACCCCACTCCACAAAATGGGGCCCACCTCATTGACGCCACCACCTCAACAACTCCCAACGCCTATTCCTCCGCCGTCGGTTAGATATACAGCAGATAAATACAGAATTGTTGAATGCATTGCGTTTCTTAGCTTCATAAACTCACTTTTCATAAAGTAAACAGTAAAACGCAACATTAGCTCGCAGGACACCCTTTTTTTTTTCTTCACATTTTTACTTTCGTCCCCAAAGTTGACTTCACACAATCCTACACGCTTGACCTACCTATTCTGCTAACTTGCGCTTGTAATGTGCTAACTTGCGTCCCCGCCAAAACTTAACACAAAATCAAGTAATCAACGATTCTGATAAAAACTTGTTGAATATCGAGATTAATTACAGAGATGAATTAAATGGAAAAAAGATGAAGATTTGAAATGTTACTGATAACGTCTTTGTGATTTTTATTGGAATAGCTGAAAAGGAGTATCTGAATTTCAGGAGGAAAGATTAATGTGGACACTGGCGTTTTTGGTGGAGTTACATATGGGGCAAGTATGGAGGGACGATCCACAAACAGTGCAGAGACAGAGATGCCGGCATGGCAGAAGCAACACGCATGATTCCTCTTTTCCACAACGCCTGCACATCCTGTTCTTGTTGTTCACTACAGGGTTGTTGACAAATTCACGTGAGGAGCACTCGCGTCGGTCGATTTCGTCGAAGTTGCTGCCGCAGCATGACTGAGCGTCGTCGACGCAGTGGCGCTGTTGTTTTTCGTCCTTAACTTGAGTGAGGACTTGTTCGAGATGGCATCTCAAGGCCTTTGCTGTGGCTTCATTTGTCTGAGCTAAATCTCGCCATATTTGATTCTCCACACAGAGAGACTTCACTCGCTCTTCTAACGCCCAATTTAATCTTCCAATCTTCTCAACTTCTTCCTCCTTGGATTTCAGTTTTTTCATTATGTTTTCTTCAACTGCCACCGCTAATATCTGAGAATATCTCTTCCGCCTGTCTTCAATTTCCATCCTCACTTTATCCATCTGTTAGAAACCAATGTTAATCTAATGAATATGAATTAAAAAAAAAAAAAATCAAAGCAAGAAGATGGAATATAATCTTACGTGTTGAGCAATAAATCTATCGAATTCTGATTGCTGTTGTTGAATCTGAAAAGAAATATCTTCCCCAAGAAAAGTGAAGGAACCGAAACGGTTATTTGCATTCTGAAGATTGATTTCATCTCTTGAACGCTTTCTAGAAATAGGAACCGCATACGTGCGACCACTGTCCGATTTCATTGTAACAGTCTTCACAGGAGCCGAATCACTAATCATTGAACCATATATCGGAAGCACAGTCTCCGTCACCGTCGTAGTTCCAGATAACGGAGCCACCATTCCGTATTCAAAAGCAGTACTATACATGTTCCCATTCCCTTCAATACCATTCATCGCCATTTCTCTGCATTCATTAAAAAGCATGAACAAATTCAGTTTCCATTTTACATCAATCGAGAAAGAAAACAAAAACAGGCAGAACAGAAAGTACTTACTTATTGCTAAGAATCTGCGGAGGAAAAAGAGTCAGGTGCCGAGTTTCAACAGCCATTAATATCTATGAAAATTTCTTGGGTTTTCTATTATTACTAAGCAGATCTTCCTATATGTATGATTAATCTTTATCTGTCTTTGTGCGGTGGTGGAAAGTTCAAGGAATGGATGAAAGGAAAATGGCATTCATAAATGGAAAATTGCAGGCCAAAATGGGTGGGGTTTATTAAGGGTTTGGTTTGGCTTTAAGGATAGAGAGAGAAAAAGGTTGTTGTATTAGAGAGAGGAAGATTTGTTTGTTTGTTTATTTGTTGGCGTGGTGGGGTTGATATGGTAGGGTCTGTTTTGTGGAGATTAATTCAGTTACGAAAAATGCTATAATGCCCTTTATTTTTCTTGACTCCGTCGAAAACTCGAACGTCATTTGTAAGTTGTAACTAACCCATATCTGGTAAATTCGTAATTTCGCCCAAATCTCAGGGGTGGTTTTGGATTTCAAAATTTCTATTTCTCATTACTGACACCTGAGGTTCTGCCACGTGTTGCGGCATGTGCGACGTGGACGGACACATGGGTGTAGTACTCACGTGGCAAAGTGGGACCCAGTCACGATGTCCTTGTGTGGTGTTTGGATGCCTAGTTTGTCCATTTGAGGACAACTTAGAACGTGCGGCACGCAGGGAAACGTTCCCCGAGGTTATACTTTTACTCGCACAATGTTAAATTGTTATCTTATATTTAAGCATATGTTTAGGAAACATTTTTAAGAATCTAAATATCAATTTACTTGAATATTCAAAATTATTATTTATTCATATCCACATGGTCTTCGTCACTATTTCTCCCAAAATCTATGAATAATCTATTCCGAAAATAGGTTAGGCTCTTTAAGAATTTAACTTAATTGAGGTGCCATTCTCCAAAAAGGAAGGCATTTGGCAAAGTTATTCCGATTATATTTTTTTTAAATAACGATGAAAACGCTCACATATTTCTCTTAATGCATGTTACAAGAATGTGTTTGATTGAAAATGAGTTTGAAGACATAAGTATGAAACAAGAGTTTCATTTAACCTAAAACTTTTATTCACTTTTTAATCACGTTTAATAACTTCATTTGCTAAAATCTATATTAAAGAGTTTCTTAATGAAGGGACCAGGTAAAATGTGTATGTATATATAATTATATCTTGGAACAATGCTATTCATATTAAGTTATTACGGTAATTATCCTATATAACATCCTATGTGTCGTCCAAAAAAAAAAAAAAAAAAAAAAAAAAAAAAAAAAAAAAGAAAAAAAGGGCAAAAAAAAAAATTATTAAAAAAAATAAAAAAAAAAAAAAAGAGC